ACCAATGGAAACTTCATCAAACCAAGCCTGTTTAGTTCTGCAACTTCCGGATCCGGTTAGATGACTACATATCATTCGTTATTGTTTTTTGCTCAATCATTCTCCCAGTGCTAACTTTCTCCCTCTTTTCTATTCTTAACAGCTACAGAAAAAAAAAATTGCAAAATTCAATTCTAACTAAAAATAGGAAGCGAATAAAATTATAATTTCATTCCACTGAAAATAGAAAGTTTTCTAAAAGAGAAACAAATAAGAATCATAAAATTTAAATATGAGCTAAATAAATGAATGGAATAAACCGAAAGGTGACAACAGCGCTCCTTCTTATATTCAAATTTCTTGCACTATTCAATTAGTTAAGAGCTTTTCTTCTTCTAATAACAATCAGTATTGTAATTGAAAGTGACTTATCAGTTTGAAAACCAATTACCACATTTAAATCTCTTAAGACTTAATTTATTTCATTGCAAGCTAATGTGGTTAGTTTAAAGGAAAGATTTTTACGCCTAATTAGGAAAAAGGATTGTTCTTTCTCTCTTATTTATTTGATCGAAATTACAATTAATCATAATTTGAAAAGAAGCGATAAGATTAAATGGCATTTATGATGATCGAAAAGAGAGCTTTAAGGTGATAAGAAAATTCCCGATTAAAAGTCGCGAAATATCGAATGATCTGAATCTGATCTGGTGATTAACAATTATTAATGTTCCACGAAATGCATATCATTTTATAACACCCAAAGTTTGTTGTTATTTGTAATAACTAAGTAAAAAGCACATATTAAGTTCAAAATAGTTATCAGTAAATTTAATCGAGTAAACAATCAATGGGACATTGTTTGTCATACTAATAACCTTCATCTATTTATGAACCATTTTCATACCAATGATTCATTTATTTTTAATATTGCTTTGTCAAATTTAAAATTGCTAAATTTTAAAACTAAATTTTTGAATTATCTTTATTAAGGAAGTATTGTTTCATTGCAAATAGAAATAATTCATTCATTTATTACATTTCTTTTTATCTTTTATTATTAACAAAAACAATTAATATTTGCATAACTTTATTTTTACTTCTTCAATAATTGTTCTACTGTTACATTTCTCTTTCTTTTTTTCTTTAAATTACCAATCTTTGTTTTAATTATTAATTATAAATCTAGCTCTTTCATCATTCCATATAGTCTTTCTTCAATCTTTTCTCACCTTAACAAACTTTCCAACTGTATCATTTTTACGGATTATTGAGGAAAAAGAGCGAAAACAAATAAATCAATATTATTACAATTATTAGAAATAATCATGTAATAGTTTCAGTAATTATTAAGTGATAAATTGATAAATGAAAGATAACAAGAGAAGTTAGTGCATATGGACGAGAAAGGATGAAAGATAAAAAAAGAGGTTAGTGCATATGAACGAGAAACGATGAAAGATAACAAGAGAGGTCAGTACATATGAACAAGAAAGATAACAAGAGAGGTACGTTATATGAAAGATAACGAGAGAGGTTAGTACATATGAACGAGAAAGGACGAAAGATAACAAGAGAGGTTAGTACATATGAACGAAAGAGGATGAAAGACAACAGGAGAGGTTAGTGCATATGAACGAGAGAGGATGAAAGATAAAAAAAAGAGGTTAGTGCATATAAACGAGAGAGATCGATCCATATGAATGCTTTATCAAAATATCTTGCGATATTTTGAGAATTTGGCGAAATAATTTATAATTTTAAATAGTAACGAATATGCTAAGAAAAAAAATTTAATCAAAAT